GGAAGTTTTCTGGGAAGCCTGAAAACCTGCCTTTGGGTGAACCAGAGAAATCACTAAATCGCATGTGAGGTTGAGTTCGGACAAGAAGAGCCGCATGTCTCTGCCCGAGTGCTTAACGTGGGGCCGTTTCCCCCTGGTGGCCTCACTACATCTTTGGAAGGAATGGACATAAGGGACGAGGGGCATCAGTTTTCTGTTCTCGTGGAGATGTCCTCACGGGAACGGGGCCCTGGTGCCACGGTAGGGCCGGCAGATCAGCAGCTGTGTATGGGCTCTGTGGCCCCCGGGGCCGGCTCTCCCCTGCCCCCCGCGCCCTCTGCACCTGTAGACAGGTGTGCCGGGCCAGACATCCGTTGATGGTTTCCACTACGAGGTCAGGTTGGGGGACACTTTGGAAAAGTAACAGTAATTTGATGTTACATCATGATATCCGGCAGCCCCAGAAAGCTGAGCGGCATCCGCCTAATAAATGCGGATTATCGTGTTGGCTTTGGGGAAGACTGGGCACTGGGTGCTAGGAACACAGAATTGGGTCGCGTAGACCTGCAGGAAAGTAATTGGAAATTGGAATATAAAATAGGCATCAACACATCTACATGAAAAGCGAAGTAGGTTGTGGTGTTGGTGGTGCCCTCTAAGATTTTGGGAGGAAAAGATCTGATGCCTGGGACCAGGCGGTGTGTTCGAGTTTAAGTAGCAAGAGTGGTGGCCTCTGCTGAATGCGGGCCAGTGCGGAGCAACACGGTTTCCTCCTGAGGCTTTGCCCCTTTGTTTCTAAAGTAAACGGTAGAGGGGTGCCCGGCCGGCTCAGTTGCTACAGCTTAGGACTCTTGATCTCAGGGTTGTGAGTTCAAGCCCCACATTGGGTGTAGAGATTACTTTAAAAAAATAAGATAAAATCTTAAAAAAAAAAAAAAAATCTGTAGAAAATGAGCTTTATTTCCGTGCCAGACCACGTCTCCCCAGTACACAGTGGCCCCATGCTAGTCGAGTCTGCTGATGATCAGTGGTAGGAGCTTATTTATCTATCACTTTTACTGACCCCATTCTTAATGCTTAAGCACCTGGCTGAATTTTATCTAATTGTTAAATCTTCAGGTTCATGGCAAATGCATAGGAGTATTTAATCTCTTTTCCTGAGGTATGTATAGATAGTACCAGGAAAAATAACATAAGCCAATCACAGGAAGCTAATATCTGTAGTTGTAAAGTATTGAAAAGACATACTAATTATATATCCGGGGCGGGGGGGAGGTGTAAAGTGATTTTAGAATTGAGAGGGGTCTTTCCGGGTGGAAGAAAGGATCACCCCTCCTTTTAGAAGGTCTAGAATCCTTTGCTGAGGTTACAAAGACGGAGATTATGGAGCAACAAACAGAGGGGCCGGTGCAAACCCTTCTTGACTTGAATACGATGATTGAACCAGCTGGAAGCATCATTTGTGAACAAGGCTCCACAAACACACATGAAGAGAGGAGAACGAAAGAGTTGGTGTGAAATTCACCCCGCAGGTGTCGCGGAGCAGGGCGTCCAAGGGGGAGGTCCTCCGTCAGCCCCACGCTGTTCTGGGAAGACTGGGTGCTGACGCCCAGCGGGTTCTTGCTCCCTGGAGAGGTTGGGGGGGGGCAGCTAGGCGGCGGAGGGATGCTGGGACTTGGGGAGCGGGTGTGGTCCCAGGGACAGGCTCCGCTGCTCCCTTCCTGCCCGGAGACGACCCGGACTAGTGAGGAATCGGATGTGTGTGGCCAGGATGCCCAGGGCAGGCCTCTGTGCACTTGGGTGCTGGGGGCTCGGGGCCTGCTGGCGGGGAGGCAGGGTCCCAGGGCGAGCGTGGGCTCGGGGCCAGCTCTGCGGCACTGTGCGGTTCCCTCAGGTTGTGGGGTGCTGTGGGGTGGGCCTGAGGCTGAGAGCAGGTGTGAGGCAGGCAGGAAACTCGTGCGGAAACCTAGCTGAGAAGCCTAGGTGATTTCAATGAATATGGACAGTTGGGATGGAGAGAACAAAGGGGGTTTTGAAACGCTCTAGGGATAAGCTGGGTGGAGAGAGAGAGTGTGCGAACTCATTCTGGGGGATGGCGGACCACCAGGACAGAAACTTGGCATCAGAGCATATTTTAGCTTGCCAGGGCGGCTGTAACAATGGGCCACGAACTGGGGCACTCGGCACAACGTAGATTTGTTCTCCCGCCACACTGGAGGCCAGAAGCCTGAGCTCACAAGACAGACCTGTTCCAGGCCGGTCTCCTGGCTTCTCGTGGTTTGGGGGCATCTTTGGTGTTTCTTGGCTTACAAAGCCCCTGCCTTAATCTTCACCAAAATTTCCCCTTTCCTAAAGGCACCAGTCATTGGTTAAGGGGCCCATCCTGTGCTACTATGAGCTCATCTTAACGCCTCACATGTGCAGTGGATTTATTTGCAACTAAGATCACATTCTGAGGCACTGGGCGTTAGGACTTCAGCGTGTGAATTTGGGGGTGCACAGCTCCACCCATAATAGCAGTAATGCACTGCATGAAATTGATGTGGCTCTTTTAGGACGTGATAATTAGCCGCTTGCAGATTGCGGGATGCTCGATGATCACCGGGGTTTTTAAAATACCCGCTGGGACACCAAGGGTGCCATGCTGCTCGGCTCCCGTGCCCACCAAGAAACCACTGGTCTCCGTTTCCCTGAGCACAGGCAGAATTCTGTGGCCGAAAGGACATGCAAGGTGCCGCCCAGACCAGTCCCTCCCAGCAGAGGGCCCCGCTGATGTGACATCACATGACCTGCCTTGAAACCACTCAGCTGCGAGCACAAGTATTTTCCTGTGATGTGAGGGCTTTAAAAACGTGCGTCAGATCTTCTCTCGGTAGACTTGGTCTGAAGTGCACTGTTAGCTCGGGCAGGTTCGCGGTGACTGTCACCCTCATTCAGGAGCCTGGATCGAGGCACCAGGAACCAGAGGAGAGATTTTTGAATTTGTAAACAAATACCTGTTGGTTTTCCCGTGTCGCTCTCAGTATGACTTGTCAGACCTCTGGCAACAAGAGGGGAAGAAAAAGGCTTTTCCCCCAGTACCGATTTCGCATCTAACATTGTGTTTTCACGAAAGGCTGAATTCAGTTCATCTCGCCAAGAAATAGCGGGTTCTTTTAAGTTGTAGAAAATACAGAAGTGATATTGATCACTATTGCAACTTGGGCTAACTTTTCTATTACAAGTAGGTTTATTAAACGTTAAGTGTGTCTTTTATAAAAGCACGTGATGACCCTTGGCAGAAACTTTGAATATCGCTAGTAATAATTGCCAATGGCACTGCCCTTCAGGTGGGCGCCTGCCCGCAGGATGAGGTGGTCCCATTTTACAGCTGGGGACACTGAGGTAGAGAGAGAGGTGAATAAGGGAGGCCGGGTCCCCCAGCATTGCAGTCTTGTGGCCGTGTCGCACCGGGGGGGTCGGGGGCTTCTGTGCCACACGTTTCCTGGCTCACTTTATAGTCACGACAGCTCGGCTGGGAAAAGGGTGCCATACTCGTTTACCTACAAGGAGTCTGTGATTTGGGGACCGGAAGTCATCGGCTAGTCTTCCGACAGGCGCAGACACGCCTGTTCCCTTCTCTGTCCTCTGTCCTCTGTCCTCTTTCTTCAGTGTCGTGCCCACGCAGGGGATCAGAATGGGAGTTTATGTGTTTGATCTGAATGTTGGAAAGTTTTCTTCAGTTTTTCTTATGGGAGCAGACTGAACACCAGATAAAGCAGGTGTGTTTTACGTGTTACATCGGTGCCCGGAAGGGAGTGGGTGTGTGTGTCTGTGTGCATGTGCGTCTGTGTGTGCGCACATCTGTCTGTGCACACAAGTGTGCTCGCTTTGGAAGATGAGCCCACCCGGAGTCGATGCGACCCCTGGAGGCGGAGGGCGGACACACAGCCTCTGGGCCGGGGAAGCTCTGCCCCCCTGGTTCTCCAGGGGGTGGTCATTTGGGGGTGTAGGTGGCGTTTCTGGAAGGTGTCTGTGCCAAGGCCTGAAAATGAGAGCAGGCAGTGATGATGGGTTCCTCTGTCAAAAACAAGAAATCAGAATCCCGCTGATTATTAGCTAGAGTGGATTCAGAGCCCGGAATCTCGGAAGGTAGTTTGTCCTTGGAGACGGCAGAGGGACCCCGAGGTGCGCGCACTTCCCTCATCCACCAGAGGCCTGGCGGATCTCTTGTCCACCCGGGGTGCTGCGAGGAGCTGCACGGGACCCTGACATGTCTCGCCCCACCTGGGTGTGTGCGGGGCCGAGATGTGGAGGGCCAGCCCCCGCCCCACCTCTGCATACGCACGGCGCCCCGGCAGGGTCCCTGGTGGTTTCCCGCTAACAGCGCGCTCTCTAACCCCACCCCCCTCCGCCAGCCAGCTGCCCCGCTCTGTCTCGACCCGTGGGGAGATGCCATCCAGTAGTTGTGTCTAACACGTGTGTAGTATTGAGCATCCTTCCCTTACTTGTGCCCCGTGAATACAGAAACACCATTCCCATGTTCTGTGTTTTCCTTTCAAAAACTGGGTTTCTCTTGAGGAGAATACAGGTTCTCAGCCCTTGAATTTATCAAAATCTTGTACACTAGGCACCTGTTCAGCATGAAAAATTCTTTCCCGTTTTGCAAAACCCAACAAGAGAACGATCATTTCAATGCTCTCTGTTTCTGAACTCTGTGCATCGTGTTCCCAGTGAGAGAGAATTCCCGAATTTACAAACAAAGCCTACGTTAAAATTCTTCTCTTCTCGGCCACGGGTGATCCTGGCATTGCACGGGAGGCTGTGCACTCTAATCAGAAGTGAACACGGGTCCTTAAAGACAAACACTTAAATCTGAGTTCAGTAGTTGTTTTAAAATCCAGTGGTTGCTGGTCCTAAATACTGAGAGATGCCTCCAGGGCGACAGCCAAGGGTGTATTTTTCCACAAGCGAAGCCCACGTCTATTTGCCCATCTCACTCCCGGTCTTTCTTGTATAACGAGATTTTTTGTGTGTGGCAGGTGGCAGATTCAAGAAAGAAATCGTTGTTGACGGACAGAGCTATCTGCTGCTGATTAGAGATGAAGGGGGCCCCCCAGAGGCACAGGTAAGTATTACAAGCAAGCGGTAAGCAGCCTTTTCTTTGATGTTTGCTTCAGCTTTGAGGTTCCCATTCAACAGAAATGGCTCTGGAAATCAGGTGTGCTCAAGAAAGGTGATGCAGAAGCCCCACGAACCTGTTTTCTCTGAGAAACGAATTCTGTGGTTCCTTCAGACAAAATCCTAGAGCGAAGTTGGGTCTGCGTGGCTGGTTTTCACTTTGTGTTTTTTTTTTTTTTTTTTTAATTTTTTTTTTCAACGTTTTTTATTTATTTTGGGACAGAGAGAGACAGAGCATGAACGGGGGAGGGGCAGAGAGAGAGGGAGACACAGAATCGGAAACAGGCTCCAGGCTCCGAGCCATCAGCCCAGAGCCCGACGCGGGGCTCGAACTCCCGGACCGCGAGATCGTGACCTGGCTGAAGTCGGACGCTTAACCGACTGCGCCACCCAGGCGCCCCTCACTTTGTGTTTTTAAGAAGGAAGGAAAGACACAATTTGCGCTCATTTGTCAACTCCGTTGATTTGACTTCTGGAAAGACCCATAGTCCTCTCCCGTTCCTGTAAGCGGTTTGCTCCCTAGAGCAGCAGGAGCATTGAGAAAGTGGCTGGTCCGAAATCGGGAAATCCGATGTTGGGGGTGGGGGATTCTGCTCACTGGGCTTCTTGGCACAAGTGCGCCTCCTCTGAACACCAGCGTGCAGCCCAGTGTGGTGTCTCCGGAAGTTCCCTGAAGGCTGGGCATCCTGGAAATCCAAAAGCAAAGGTGGCGGTTTACCTGCTCTCCAGTGCCTTATTTTACTTGCATAATAATTTACTGGCCAAGCGCATACTGGGAGCTGAATCCAGGAACGGTGGGCGAATGCCTGCCCCGTGTGGGTCGGCTCATGTAATCCTCGAGACGACCCTGCGGGTCGATGTGCTGAGGAGTCCCGTCTCCACTGCGGACGCCGAGGCCGGGACTTCTTGCCCAAGGATGGACGTGGTGAAGGGGCACAGACTCCGGGGCTCTGCCTGTGAATGGCACCAACCTGGGGGTAGAACCATGACTCCCCCCGCCACTGGAGTCTCAGTCTTGGCGTCTTGCCGTGAGAACACGTTTACTCGGTTAACTGACGACCAGTCCTTTATTCCGGATGTACTGTGTTCAGGGCCGTCATTTAGCCCAGCGGCTTCCCCTCATTAAAGATTTCTACCATGGGGGGCTGTCAGTATGGAGCCTTTTACAGCTGACCGACAGGATTTTGTACACAATTAGGCAGAGCGTGCTTGAATATTCAAGGGGGAGAGAGTCCTGTTTTTAAGTTACCGTTCCCAGGCACGTGGAGGCATGATCTTTGTTTTCATTGTTTCCAGATATTTCCTGGAGCGTACCCGAGCATAATGGCTTCACGAATGAAGTCGTAGGACTTTTTTGTGGCTGCCAGTGTCATCCCAGGGTTGTGTAAAAACTCTGCCAGTCAGCTGGCTTTTGTGTGTGGCAGTTGCCGGGGGAGCCACGGGGGTGGGTTGGGGGGATTTACGGAGTGCTCACCACCTACTAGGCGCTGGGCAGTGAGCGCCCCCTTGGGAGAATGAGGTGTGGCGTGTACTTGCCAGCCTCGGTCTGGTCCCCGGGTCCACGATTGCTCTTCATATGCGTGGGGACACCTCACCTCACTGCTCGGAGGAGAAAGGAAAAACATACCTCCAGATAGAGAGAGGGCAAGGTAGGTGCCCCGTGTCAGCCTGGGTCCTGGGTGCTCTGCTGGGGCGGCGGGCCTGTCCCGGGATCCGTTCTTCCCAAGATTTTGATCTCATCTCAGTTTTTCATTTGGACTTCACGTATATTTACGTTTTTATCACGTAGAATTTCCACATATAAGCGAATATGCTTTTTAGTTAACACATGAAGTCAGAGCTTAACCCCCCCCCCCTCAAATTCCCCCACGTATATCCGAGCTGGTACCTTGGCTGTAGAAACTTACTTAGGAGCTGTGGCTTCTCAGAGAAAGGAAACAGGATTAACGTTACTATTACTGATTTTTCCATTTTCCCTTGGAAAGTGGAGGATCTCTGGTGCCGGCCTGACCGGCTTGTGATTCTGCTGTTGCAGTCACGTGCGACCCTAGGAGGCCACTGAGGTTCCAGGACCTTCCGTTCCGTCTGCTCCGGCCTTACAAGGCGGTCATGCGCACTGAACAGGCTCGTCTGCGCCTGGCAGCGCAGTTGTTTGCCCCGAGGCACATTTGCCGTAGCTTCCCCTGGATGCGTGGAAAACAAGAACAAAGTGGCCCAGAGTCAGGTGGTTGTGGAGTTGGAGAGGCTCTGCTACGAGGCTGGGTTTGCCTCACATTTGTGGGACCGCCATTGGCTGGATCAGGACGGAGGGTAGAGGGTCCCACGGGGAGGCGTGTCTGGTTTGCATTCCTTGGAGACGGGGTGGCCTGGGTGGGAAGGGGGTGAGGGTCCCGTTCCAGGCTGTTACGAGAAGGACGGCAGTGACGCCACAGCAACGCGTTACAGCCAAAGTCCGGCCTCAGACTCGGCCTGACGGAGGGGTCTGCCGGCCACGTGTCCTCTGCTCACGAAGATGCTGTTCCCACCCTTTTGCTCCCCGAGCCTCGTCACTCAGTTCCTTCTTCCCTCCTCCCTTTCTTTTCTCCCCAGTTTGCCATGTGGGTGGACGCTGTTATATTTGTCTTCAGCTTAGAGGATGAGATCAGCTTCCAGACTGTTTACCACTACTACAGTCGGATGGCCACCTACCGGAACACGAGCGAGATCCCTCTGGTTCTCGTGGGGACCCAGGGTGAGTGCCATCTGCACGCAGGTTGAGTTTAAAGGATTCCCACACTTGAGCAGTGAGTGGAGTTGTGGCCTCTGTTTTTGGTGTGGAGGAATCTGAAAATGCTTCGAAGAAGAAACATTTTCTACTGAAGGCTTTTTCCAGTGAGAATCCACGAAACTGAAATTGTCACGTTTCCTGAATTGATTCTGTGGAGAAATCACTTGGTCAGCAGCCTCAAAATAACCCCCCTTCCCCCCAGTACTCTAGGGAAAATAAAATCTGTTTTCTGTCGTTTTCTGTAGGAGGGGTATCTTAATTCTTTTGGTTACATAAACCAATTAATAAGCAATTAAAAGGTTTATTTTACCTTTGAGTGCATCTTTAAAATTCTACCAATTTCTCATATACAGCAGAGTTTTGTTTTATTTTGCTCCGTCTGTTGTGTGTTCTGGTCTGTAGCTAATTTTTTTTTTCACCCAACAGGCCCCTCAGAGTCTAGAATTAACCCTGTATGAGTACGTTTCTTCATTTCTTCTAGGTCACTTAAAACTTGGCCTCTTAGCAGAGCCACAGCCCTTAAGTGTCCTTGTTCTCAATCAGATTCACTGACGTACCGGTGTCTGCATCTGGGTCTTCAGTAAGAGGCCACATAGAATGTCTTAAAGAACCAGATGGCAGGTTGACTTTAAAAACTGCTTTGTCAGCAACGGAGCAACTTAAAACATAATCGTGTCAAGAAAACTTGGATTATACCTTCGTTTTTGTTGTTGTTATTCATACACTGCTTTTGTTAGAACGTCCACATCTGGTCTCCCTTTCTCCAAGCCCGGATGTGACACTTTTGTGTCACAGGCACTCGGCTGTGTTGAAGAAGCTGTTTGTGTGCTACCGGCTCTAGTGTGAGGAGAGTGAGCTCAGGCAGATGAGCCCTGGGTGTGGGGCGGGTGTGTGTGTTGCACGAATGGAAGTAGCAAGGAACCAACTGAAAGCATCATCTGTGTGCTAGATATGAAATGTTAGAGTCAGGGTTTCATGGGGAGCCCCCCACCCCCACCCTCTTGCAGCCGATGCTGCAAGTGGTCTCAGCCCTGAAGCCTTCAGAGCAGGTGGATTCCACCCGCAGCCCGATGGCAAAGACGTTCTTTATGCCCGAGCGCCCCCTGGTGGTCCCTGGGAAACAAGGGCGCGCCAGTACGGAGTTGGCATGTTTGAGGTGGCATCCTGAAAATTCTTAGTAGTGTTTTATAGTGGGTGGCCCGTCTAGAGCAGATCCTGCTTTAAAGCTTCCCTGAAGATGCAGCGACTCCTTCCCAACAAGCACCACTCCGGCAGCCCAGCCCAGGGTAATTTCTGAGCAAAATCGGAGACCGGGTGTGGGCATCTCCTTAGTGCCTGCCCGAGTTAAGGGGTTTCTGTTTACGACTCGGAATGTCTTTTTTTCTGGGGACTCGCTGTGAGAGGGAGCAGGGACTTGTTCAGCCCAGGCCAGAAGGCTGTATGTGATCATTTGTTGTCGTCTTAACACAGCCAGGTTTTGGGTAGTGGAGAGTGGAGCGGAGCGTCCTGTCCCTGGGTGTTGGGGCCACGCAGTCCTGGCCTCGGGGCATCCTGGCTGTGTGACCTTGACTGCCACCTCCTGTGGCCAGGTTTAAGTGGGGGAACTTCTGTAAGGCACCGGAAGCATCCGTGGGCACATACGCGTAAGATGAGTGGCTGCTGTTAGAATTGTTACAGCTCAGTAATCAGCCTTAGTGAGGTCCTGGTTGGGATGCCAGAGGCATGCCTCTCTCTCTCTTCCCTTCCTTGGGGATGGGCGGGGCTGTCTGTGTCCCACCTCAGCCGAAGGAGGGCATATCCATGTCCCCCACCAGGATGGTCCACGTGTTTGTAGAGGAGGCTGACGGAAGGCTCCGCAGAGGCTCTGGGGAGGCCCTAACGTGGTCCCTGACTGCAAGACCTACCCCCTTTTTATTCCTGCTGGCGGTAGAAGCATCTGTTGAGTGAGCGCATTCTGTCTGAAGAGGCCCTGGGTGAGTGAGCACCTGAGCCAGGGAGCCCGGGTGGAGGAGGGATTCCTGGCAGTCTCCTCACACTCGTTTGTGAGACGTCGTTCACACTTCAGCATAGCCCCGTCCCAAACGAACGGGACGTGAGCGAGCATTAGCAATTAGGCAAGTTCCTCTTGGTCTTTAATCAGACCTTTAATTTCCAGAGTGCCCCAGACGCCCCCCAGTGGCGAGATGGTGGAGTGAGTGTGGGCTTTCTGGAAGGTTCCACTCCCAGGTACTTTTTACTGCTCACAGACTTGCTTTCTGTGAAGCCTGCTCGTTTGTTGTGCTTTTGCACAGGTCTTGTGGGATGCTGGAGATACAAGGTGGGTCAGGTTATAGGTGAGGGACTCTGAGCTTCTCTCCCTCGTGTCTGGGGTTGGCCCGGAGGCAGGAGGTTCTGGAATGGGAAAGATGAACAATTATGTTCATTCTTTAAGGACGCCTGGCGTGTGGCGCCGCCTCATCCACAGGCGGGAGGAGGGGCTCTGTGGGAATACGTGTCCACTCGTGGAGCCAGGGAGCCTGTGTGAAGGTCCCGTCAGGGCACAAGACATTTCCGAATGAGGCGGCTGTGCAGTGTTTGACGAGCAGGTTCTATTTTAAATGCCTGCAGATTAAATTTATTTGAGAGAAAGGCACGAGCCCTGAAAGGATACAGAGTTAGGATGGAACGAAAAACAAGGCTTGTGTCGCCCTGACTGAAACGAGGTGCAGATACGACACGGCCACACCCGTGACGTGTCGCTGTACCTGGGAAGATGAGACGGGACGGAAGCGGGGTGGGCATCCCACTGAGGAAAGGGGGCCGTGGAAGTGTCCGGGACTCCAGGTGGCGATAAATCATCAGCCGGATTGACAGATTTCAAGCTTTTTTCCCTCCTGTTTCCTTAAAAGATGTTTACACCTTTAAAAAAAATACATCTTTTTCTTAAGTGTTGCAAAATTTAAGCCAAATTTGTTAACCTGTAAGGCCAGACAGGGCAAGATAGATGTTCTTTGAACAAATCCCTGTAACAGACCTTGCCAGGGAATGTTCCGGAATATCTCTCGAGATGGCGCAGGTCTTTGTCCGCAAAAGAGGTATGAATCGGAGTTAGTCTTGATTTCTCTGAGGGAAACTGTCAGGTCAGGCCTGTTCCATAGGGCTGAAGGTAAGATAGGAAGCAAAGTAAGAAAAAAGAGAGAGAGGGGAAAAATGAATAAATTCTTCCCTTAAGATGCCCCTTTTTTATGCACTTCCTGCCCCCAAGTAAACAAAACATACAAGGTTGTGGCTGCCTCGTAGGTCTTCTCTTGTGCTGCACCTCCTCTGGGTAGTAGGGAAAATCCCACCAGTGGATTTTTGTTTAAAGAGCAGCTGGGCGTTTCCTGTAGCTCGGGAGCCTTTATGCCGCTGAGAAAGCTTCACGGCAGGAAAAGTCCCTGAAAAGTGCCTGCTGTCTCACACCTAGCTCCGTAGCCTTAACATCTTGGCCTTCCTGCGTTGGTGTGTGCCAGGCACGAGGCTGGCACTTGGCAACTCCCTGGGAACTCATGATAGGACGCATCTGGGACACTGAGCTAATAAGGGCTGAGTATTCCTTTTTTCGGGGACTGGTGGCAGGTGCCGGACACGTCTGCTTTGCCGCTCAGACGTCCCCATCTGTACATAGATCCTGTAGGAAGTGGGTCTGCCCAGGAGCGGCTTTGTTGGAACTAACACCCCCCGACTGCCCCACCTCCCTTCCCGCTCCTGCCTCAGTCTCCCTTAAACCCACCAGGCGCTCTCCCCCGCAGGTAGTGGCTGGTTGGCCCTGCCGCCTTCCCGTAGATGGGGCTGCCCTGAAAATCACACTGAGCACACGGACCTTCGACCTCCTTCCCTGCCTGACGTGGCTCTGGTGGCCACACTGTATGGTTCAAGGTTGCTCCCCATCTGCGCCCCGTTCTCTGCCTCCCTCCCCAGCTGACCCCTGTCTCCCCGGCCCACCTCTCCCTCCCTGGCTGACCTGGTAGCCCCTCCGTGAAGCACAGATTTTTGTGTGTTCACTGGGGTAGCCCTGTGCCTGGAACAGGACCGGGCACCTAAGGGTGGCTCTGGACACGCACCGAACGGGCGAGTGGCTGCACCTGTAGGAATTCTGCTCATAGGACGCATTTCGCAGGATGCTTCTTGCACCGAAAGTCACCTGCAAATACCGAGCGTGGGGTGTCTTTTTCCCTTTTATTTTCCTCCGGAGCCACATTTAACTCTCACGCCTTCCTTCTGGTCTTCCTAGGCGTCCTTTTGTCCCAAATTTCAGAAGCAGGATCCTCTGAAACGGATTTTTACAAAGGATGACTCTAATAAAATGTTTGAGATTATTACTTGGAGGGTAAGCTAGGTTTTAAAAACCCCAGGTCCTTAAGTTGCGGGAAGCACCCGAGCTACTCGTGGTCACCCTGTCTTTGCTCGTCTGTTCCAGATGCCATAAGTTCCACGAACCCGCGGGTCATCGACGACGCTAGGGCGCGGAAGCTGTCCAGCGACCTGAAGAGGTGCACGTACTACGAGACGTGCGCCACGTACGGGCTGAACGTGGAGCGCGTCTTCCAGGACGGTAAGCGCCCCCCGCGGCCGTCGCAGCACCGACTCCCCGGTGGGCGGGGCCCGTCCACGTGACCGCTGGCCCCGCTCCCGTCCAGAGGGGGCTTTCGGCTGCCTGTGCGCATGTTCAAAAGCCGCAGGCCGCCCCCCCCCCCCCCCCCCACCAAACCCCTTCGCAGGCGCTCCGTGACCTTGGCGTTCAGGGTCAGACATTTGCAGGTTTCTGCGCGCGGTGTGGCGGACTTGAAGCGTTTGCCGTCTCTTCTCCGCCGTGGCTACTGGTTCTTAATTCAGGCTTGTTCCTAAAAATGGTCTACATATCGCATGTTGGGCTTTGAGGAGGATAAACAGAAAGAGTAAAGAGAGCCAAGCGTGGACCGAAAAAACCCAAAACAGAACAAAAGCCCAATCGCACATCGTTCCGACCCGTGGCTGGGAGCCAGCGCCACGGGGCAGGAATTGTTTCTTTGTGACTGAGTTCATTAGTGACCCCCCTGCTAATCCCGGACCCCCGGGACAGGGGGCGTCAGACAGGAGGCTCTCCGGGAGCAGCGCAGGGTTCCATATGGGGGGGTGGCCAGCACCACGGGCACAGACTCCGATGCCAGGTGTGGGCTGGGAAGGGGGTGGGGTGGATGGAGACTTGGCTTCTCTGGTCTAGGGGGGAGGGGGGTGTCGGGAAGGTCTGGGGGAAAGCCGCTTCCTCTGGAGGGCCCCGCTTCTGGTCGTGGTCGTGGTCGTGGGGACTAAATCCCGGGTCACCCCCCTGCTCGGGCTCACATCCGCGGCGGCAGAGCAGACCGCCCGAGCCGCCGGGTCACCCCGGCCTTGCCGGGCACGAGTGCGAGTCGTAGTGACAGGCCTGCGCTTGCGGGACAACGTGCGAACGCTCGCCTAAATGTCCGGATTCGTTTTCAGTCGGGGCTGTAGGAATTGCACACTGTGACCTGTTTCATTACGTCGCAAAGGTGACCGTTTCCACACAGCACGTTTTCTTCCCCTTTCCTTAAGCACCGCCAAGCTCTAGGCTTTCGGCCTCTTTTCTTCGTGCAGTGGCCCATCCTCCCCCCTTCTCACAACGTGTCTTCCAGAGACCTTTGTACCCGTGGTCTTCACTGTCTCCCCAGGGCCCGTTCGGAAGTCACAGCATCCCGCTGAGGGTCCTGGGGTCTCCCGGCCCTTCCTCCTGCCCCGCACGTTTGGGGGCCCCCTCGGGCTGTACCCATCCCTGCTGGGTGGTGGGGCCCCCCGTGGCGCCCGTGCAGGCCCGTGTTTGCAGCACCTTGAAGGGTCGCCCGTGAAGAGCCCCGCAGGAAGCGTGTGGGGTCCCGGGAGGGTGTCCCGTGGGGCAGTCTCGCCGTCTTCCACCAAGCAGCCCAAACCCTGTGCGACCAAACTGTCACACGTGAAGGTCCCCAAGCTTGAGCCCACGACCAAATCTGGCCAACAGCCTGTTTCTGTAAGTAGTGGTTTCGGTGGCCCCGGCTGGGCCGCTTTTGTTACCACTGCTCAGTTGAGAGGTGGCAACTAAGATGTCAGGGCCCCACGAAGCTTGAAACGGGGACCCTCTGGCCCTTGGTGGAAAGCGCGTCGGTCCCTGATGGGGATGTTCAGAATTTCCTTGTATGGGTGAGCTTATTCTCCGCAATGATTGCCTTACTTGTGCATTTATCGCAAACATGAACTTCTCGTAAGTAAGTGAACACATACATCATAATCCTAAGAATTAGTAAATAGTAGGGGAGGCCAAGATTGTTATGCGTCCCTGCCCTGCCTCCAGAGTGTGTGCAGAAGCACTTTGTTGTCTGCAAGTTGGGATGCCAGCAAGGGGAGGGGAAGGGCCTTTCCAAACATCATCATCTCACGTAATATTAAGGTGTTGCTGTTGTTGGGATTTGAATGGTGAAGCACGTTATGCTCTTGGGAGTTTTCCCAGGCTTAGGAGATTTTCAATACGTTCGTTTTGTTACTTCTACTTTTAGAAATAACGCCTTCCCGTTAAACATTTGGATTGTACAGAGTCAGAAAAGGAAATAAGGCTCACGATCTGACAGCTTGTGACTGTTGTGATTTTGTCCTTAAAATATCTTTATATGAAGATAAGTTTGAAAAATAAAATTAGAGTCGGGGCACCTGGGTGGCTGAGTCGATTAAGCAACTGACTCTTCGTTTTGGCTCAGGTCATGATTTCGCGGTTTGTGGGTTTGAGCCCCGCGTTGGGCAGAGTCTGCTTGGGATTCTCTCTTTCTCTCTCTCTCTCTCTCTCTCTCTCTCTCTTAAAATAGGTAAATAAAACTTAAAAAAAAAAATAAGGGTTTACTCTTATTTTGTAGGGTAATTATGTGGTATATCTTTTTATTGGGTTATACATAAACTCCTTAATTGTTACCGATAAAAGTTCTTGACTGAGTGGAGATTGCGCTTGGTACTTAGAAATCGTGAACGTTAAGAATCTGTATTAATCTTTAAGGAAAAAACACCCCATAGGGTTCAGAGTTCAAGAAATCAAGGCTCAGAAACATGACGTAGCTGGACCAAAAGCTTTGGGCCTGGATTGGACGCCTGTCTTGGGACCACGAGCCCAGAGCCTTAACCATCCTGTCATTACACAGCAGGGACCTGGGTCCTGCCCACTCACCTGGGGGAAGGCTGGGCAGAGTGGCTTCAGGGACGCAGGTTCACTGCACACTCACAGACACTGTTCATGTGGATTTGTCTTTCGGTTTTCTGGCAAGCCTTAGGACTTGTTTTTATTTACGCACTCTTTACCGTTGCATCGTAGAAGGAGAAAGAAGGGGCACGTGGTTTCTTTGTAAGGTTTAGCTTATTGCTGGAGAAAAAAACAGAGGCCGGACTGTTACCCCAGCAAGACCTTATTTGTACCTGCCCCTGCCGGCCAAGCATTCTAGTCCCCTGGCTCCCCAGGTTTCTTCTTTAAGATACCAGGGACTTTTAGTCTTTGCTTCTTTAACTTTGTCTTCTTAGTGTCCTAAAACTGAAGACAGAATGTTTGCTTTTCTCTCCGTGGTGTCGTTTTCAAATGGCTCTCGGAAAGTAATTCAGGAGGGAGCATCCTTACGAGCCCCAGCGGTGTCAGGAGGCAGGGAGGTAGATGGATCCATTTGTTCATTTGTTTATTCTTTGAGTCCCTCACCTGAGCACCAGCATTGCCTGCACCGTGCCTTTGGTTTGGGGTAGAGAACAGGGAGGGCCTTGGCGAGGTGAAAATTCAAGTACCCAGAGTACCTAAGCTTGCACCTTGCCCTAGGGTGGAGGGGGCGAGTGACGGACAAGGTTGCTTTTTGTCACCTGCTCGCAGAGGTTCGGGATCACCCTTGACCCGACTCCTGCTGAGTGTGTGTGGCTCGCACGGCAGAACTATCTGGGCTCCACAGGGGGTCTTATAAATAAGATTCACCTTCTGAGAATGCACGTGCTCACCCGTTTTGCATCTGGGCTGCTGGGTCTCATGGGGGCGTGGTTACCCATCTGTTTGGAGAGCCCTACGGGAGCCCTGGGCCACCAAAGTCTGGACCAGAGGGGATTGAGGCAACCTGGGGCTGCACGTGCCCACCCCCCCACCCCCCACGTCTCTCAGTCTGTCTAATTCTGTGCAGTTCTGTTTGCCCCCGGTCGTGTCTGGGAGATCAGCTACAAGCTTTTGTATTTTTAACATTATAATGGTGATTTCTGGGTCAGCATTAGATTTTCCAGAAGCCCCTGGTTGTCTGTTCTCTCAGGGCCTGGAGACATGAAGATACAGGATTACAGGAGAATAAAGTTCATTCTCTGTAGACGTCATTCCTCTGATGTTAGGATTCTTACTGAAGAAGGGTTTCCCTCACTTCCTAAGGCAATGAGCTGAGTGGGAGAAGGCCTTGCAGTGGCACATCTTTTGTGCCATGTTAGATGAGTCTCCGGCTAGGGGTGGTGGGAGTTTTCAACCTAGATGTTCAGGGACAACCTACGATGCTTAGGACTTAGTGACAAAAATAGATTCCTCCCCTCGAAGGCTGAGCAGTGCCGAAAGGTAAAAACTCATGTGTGTAAGCGGTCGAAGGGCCCCTTAGACCATCAACGTGCGCCATCTTGGGAGGAAGAAAGTGGACCCTGCCGCCTTATCTTCATGACGGAGCATTGGGGATTTTTGTTCCCTCAAAGTGGGTTTTTGGAAATGGTGAATTATGTTCTCTTTTTGAAATTTCCTATCCTGCGTTGAATGTCCTCGCTTATAGTTTGTTTTGCTTCGATGACGGTGCTTGTGTGATGGCCGTGTGTCGGGTGTAGTGAAATGCCACAGCGTAGTTCCCTCATTCCAACTAAGCAGGAGGCAGAATCAGTTTGTTGTTTGTTTTGACATTTTTTGGCATAGAGCCAATAGAATCCCTACGTTTTTTGGGGGGGGGGGGGAGTATATCTTATAATTTTTTAATGATGGGATCTGACTGGTATATGGTGTTTTAAAGATCCCTGATGTCTAAAGAAAAGTGGTTTCCCTTTCGTACAGAATGAGTAGAACTTTGGTGGTAGTACAAAAGAATTTAGTTTGTCCTTACCCAAGCCCTTTTATGCCCTTGCCCTCTCTCCCTCGCTCCCTCTCCTAAAATGAGCTGATAGATTTGTCTGTATTGTAAAGCAGTATCGTTTTGTATGTGGGTTTCATGTAATGCATCTGGACACTGGCTGTTTTGTATACCGAATTCAGTATTCTGAGCACATATATTCTGAAGTTGTAGTCATTTGTTAAATCCCACCGAAAGCATCCTATTAGACATTAAAGCACACTCCCCTGGAAAGCTTAAACTCCCTACCTTCTTCAGCTTGTATTCGTAGGACAATAGGAAAGCCTGTCTGCAACCTATTCTGCTCTGACAGTAATTGTCAGACCCGGTCAAGATCCGTACTGACCAAGATCTGGATAAATTACAAATTACCATCTGTCAGCTTGACTCTCCCCAGGGCTGCCGAGTTTCGTCACCGTGTCATCCAGTTACGAACTGGACACTGTCCAGT